CTGTGCATTCTCACTGAGGTTATTCATCATACAATACTCAGCAGTACGGTATAAAAATGCTGTTTATGGACCACTGAGAAATTCATTTAGCTCTCCTCTCATTCTTAGCTTCCAGTGACAATGCTGTCAGCCTCCCTCAATGTTTTAATCACACTTTAGTGAAGACCACATCAGAAGAAAGCAGAAAAAGTTACAGAAGCAGGTTAAAAAGTAAATAATACAAAAAGTTTTTCTTGATGAATAATGTAGCTACTAAAAAAAAAATCAAGTGTTTTGATAACTTGCATGTATTAAAAGGCAGCAGTTTTAAAAAGCCTAAAAACAGTACTTGCAATAACAGTGTTCATGTCCCTCGTGCTTTCAAGACAGCCTTCTGATTGCGTATGCTGGCTGGTGTGTGTTTAAGGGAGGAACATCAGGAAGAAGATGATAGCTGACTCAGAGCACAGTGAGGGCAGAATTTGAAGTACAAATGAAAATAATTTTACAGCAGACTTGCTCAACGATTTCTGCTTCCTCACCCTTCCACCCAAAAATATGCCACATTAATATATTCTAGTTAATACTTCGTAAAGCTAATGAAACCAAGCTTCAATGAAACTGTCAAGCATCTGCTGATGTGCAGTCTGCTTCCTAGGTACTAGAAGCTTACAGCAGGCTGCTGAGCAGGATGTGTTTTTGCTCTGAAGAAGCATCAAAGTATTTTCCTGATCTTAAGATCTGGTAAATTCTCAAAAGCTTTTAATAATACAGTAGTTATGCATTATCAATTATTTTTAAAAAACTCTTAATATTCACCACTTAAGAGTCTAGTTTTAACTGACTACATTCTTTCACTTAATGCATTATTGAGGGGTTTACTGTTCAGGAGACAGGTTGGGACCACTGTGATCCATTTCTTAAAGATGGCAGTTTAGATAACGTCAAGAAAGGTTTTCAAAATAAGATACTACTAAAACCACATTGTTATGACTGAAGCAATTGGTTGCATTTCAGGCAAAAAACCAAGACAACTCGCTTGCTTAAATTAGTGTTCTCTATAAAACCCAACGTTTGTCAGAAAACAATCAATGGAAAACATTCACTTAATAAAATGAAAACTTATTTGGAAGCACTACAGTGTTCAGGACTGCAAACAAGCACATTTTGGACTGGCGAAGAGAGTAACAGCTCGATGGCTTCAGTCCTTCCAAGTCTTGATGGACAGCTTAAACGGCATTTTTATGAAACATACACTGAACAATCATGACTTCATGCAGCTGCAAAAACCATCCAGTTGCATATCTACGACAGCGAGAGAACTATGCAGCTGTTCTGAGATTCGCGGAAATGCTGTAACCAAATACTGTTAACTATCACTTACCGACTCCCTGTAATTAGTTTAGAAATAACACCTTCATCGCTCAATATGACTAGCCTACTGGGATCCACGCTGGAAAACACATTATGCTTTGCAGAGCCAATACTAAAGCCAGCACTCTCAAATCATGGATTTTTTAAATTTCATTTTCCTCTGGGCAAGTTTTTCCTCCTCTCTTGTCAGAGCTCTCTAGGAAAAAGCCTGCAAAACTCAGACAAAGGCTAACCCCCCTACAAAGGGGACACCCGACAGCATGCGACCGACGGCTGCAGAGGAAGCGTTACCTCCGTTGATGGGCACGGGAGCCACCAGCAGGCCCTTGACCTCCACCTTGGGGGAATCCTGCCCGTAGCGGCCGCGGTCGATCCTCAGCAGCGTGGGGCCGCCCCGCTCGGGGTTCAGCACCGTCACGTTGATGAGGGCGGTGTAGTACGCCTGGCTGGCGTTGTCGGCGCCGGCCGGCCGGACCCGG